AGGGAAAAAGGGTAGACTGGATGGATGACTTTGAGGGTACTTTCGGTTTTAACATTCAATTACACTATGAATCACGAGTCTCAAAAAATCTAAATGGCCAGTCACCTAGAGCAGCCCTGGGATTCAAAACCAGGTCCTCTGAGTCCAAATTCTGCCTTCTATCCATTGTACCATACCCCCAGATTTATACTAACTCTGTAGGACCTTGAGCAAACAGCTTCCCTTCTCTGGGCCTCAGTCTCCTTTTTTCTGTAAAATGAGGGGGTTGGCTTGGGTTCTCCAGGTCTAGGTCTGTGATCCTAGGTCCCAGGCCTCAATACATGCTGCTGTTTGTGTCTCTTTAAAGATGAAGAACTCAGAAAGCTTTCTTTTCTCTTTTTTTCTCCTGGAAGGTCTGCCAACCAGCAGGCCAGGCCCACCATGTGGCATGTACCACAGCGTGTCCTTCCCCTTCCCCCTTGCCTTTATAAAGGAATGTCTCTGGCACACTTCAAAGGGCCTTGGAATTTTCCAGCTTTTATAAAGAGAAAAACTTTGTGAACAAATAGATATTCAAGTTCCCCGGTGACTCATTCAAAGCTAGAGTCATAACTCTTCCATTCTCTGACTTTGTTTTCCTCCCCTCACACGATTGGTCTTTGGCTCAGGGTGTTTTTCTTCCTCAAAGGGGAGATCACACAGGAGCTGAAAAATCTTGAGTTGTTTAGGCCAAAAAAAAAAAAAGGCTCCCTTCCGTAGTGGAGGGTAAGAAGAGTCTATAGTGGATTTGAATGGAAATGTGTATTTGTAGCAGAATTGTAACTAAGGTAGGACAATCAAGGCTTTTTCCCAGGGTGCCAACCTGAAGGAATACTTCCCTCCATCATGGTCTAGAGATCAATCTCTCTCTGACTCCTGGTCCTATACTGGAATGCCCTAAGAAGGGCACCACCACCCAGGCTGGAATAGACAAGGTTTTCTGGGGGATCAAGACTTCCTCTCAAAAATCCCTACTCCCAGTACAATTACCCCTGGAACCTGATTGTCTTCTGAAACACTGGCCCCTCAATATGAGTGGTTTTTTCCTTTCTGGTTGGGATTTGCAGCTTTCAGCCTTGGGACACACAATCCTCTCTGAGCAGAATGTCCCAAAGAAGGTCTGCCCGTATTCTCCCCACCCTCAAACATCCAATCACAGCCACCAGGCTGGGGACAAGTCCCTACATCTATTTCTCTCCTTCCCTGACTCCCTTGCCCTCATCAGCTACAAAACCTTCCCAACCCCTATTCCACACTGCTCTTCTCCCCACACCACAAGAACCAGCCAAATGACCTATTGGTTATTGCCAGAATCCTAGCCTCTGGGACTTTGCTCATGACAAAAAGGTATACCCTCCTGACCTCCACCTCCTACTATCAGCAGCTACCTTCAAACTTCAGCCCTGGAAAAAGGCCTTTCCACATCCCTCTGGCAGTCAACTTTGTCTCTTTCCTCAAATTATCCTGGGTTTACTTATCAGTTCACTGCTACTTCCCCCAGGAGAATTCAAATTCCTTGAAAGCAGGGACTTTTTTTTTCTTTGTGCCCACAGCACCTTACATATAGCTTTTATGCCCACCAGGCACTCAATAAACACTTTAAACATCAAACTTAGCCCCTACCAATGTACAAAGTGGCGGCTACCATTCTCCTTTACTGCCTTCTTAGAGTATTGAAGTAACCTTGGACTCTTAAAGGCTTTGCCACCATAGTTCAATCCCTTGAAGGCCTTTCCACTTTGAAAGGCTCAGTGGTGCCCTGGGTGTCTAGTGTCCAAGACCAGACTGCTTATGTTGACAGACTCATCACCCACCAAAAGGTTGGCCACTGGGTGACATATTTGGCCCTGAGAAATCAGGGACAGAGGCATCTGTTTGAAGAGAGGGAATGTACATGCCAAGGAAAAATATATTTGCACGTATACACACATATACACACATGTATACATCTACATGTTTATATATGTACGTGTGTGTTATGTGTATACATATATGTGTATAGATATAAACATATAAGCATGTCTATGTATTTTTCAAGTAAATTAAATATATCTATAGGCAGATATATCTGTGAACATGACAATAGATATAGATTATATAGAGACATAGAAGATACAGATATATGGATATATTGATATGGATATAGGTATGGGTATAAATATAGAAATAACAGATCCTTACAGTATTCAGGTATATGTAGACATGAAAGGGATTAAGAGGGTTGGATAAGACCCAGTTCATTCATTCAGTCCATTCAACTAGCATTTATTAAACACCTTCAGTGTTCCAGGCTTGTGCTAAGTGCTAGAAAAAGAAAAACTTTAAAGCCTGTCTGCCTTTAAGGAGCTTACATTCTATGGGAGGGAAACAATATAAACACCAATAAAGCAACATCATTGTTTTTTTCATGAGGCAGTTGGGTTAAGTGACTTGCCCAGGGTCACACAAGTAGTGAGTGTCTGAGGCCAGATTGGAGGAACTCTTCCTGACTTCAGGCCCAGCACTCTATCCACTACACCACCATGCCACCAAATAGCATGAGACAGGGCCTCTAAAGTGAGAGAAGCGCCATTCTGGGGATATAATGAGAGTGCAAGTCAGGCCGAGGGATTTGGGGAAGTCAAGAACACCAGTTCCCCAGCAGGGCTTTCCTGCCCCCAGGGGCCCATGCCTATGAACAGCAGATGAACTTAAGGCTTCAAAGCCTCCCTCTAGGAAAAGACCAGCTCTCCGCCCTTCATGTCACCATGCTGAGCTCTGAGAGGCCACGGAAAGAGTGATGGGTTCGAAGTCAAATACAACTCTGCCATCTGCTCCCTGGGAGGCCCGGGGTAAGCTCCTGGGGCTCTCTCTGGACCTCATCTTCCTCCTTCGTCAAATTAGAGGGCTAGGCTAGATGGCCTCTGAGGTCTTGTGAGTCTAACTGTGTGAACTGGGACAGGTCACTTGAGTCAATCTCAGGGCCTTGGTTTTCTCTTCTGAAAAATGAAGGGGGTGGGGGAGAAGGAGGAGTCGATGGTTTCTGCAAATCTCTCCCTCTACATCAATGATCCCAGTCCCATTGCAGGAGATGCCTCCCCTCCACCAGCAGCCCTCAGCAGAGACCATCCATCATCAGCCAGCCTGCTCCTAGGAACATTTCATCTGTAGCCAGGCTAGCCTCTGTTGCCCTCCCTTCACACTCTGGTCCCTGCCAGCTCTAGGAACCCTCTGCTTCGCAGCTGGGGGCTAGAAGCTGAGCCTGCCACAAACCAGCAATCCCTTCAGGTGGTCAATTCCACACCTCTGACTCATAAATTTCACTTGACCAAAAGCCTGCTTTTGGCTCGCCTTCCTCCAAGTTTATTTACAGAAACAACTTCTCCATATGTATTTTTTTCTCACTTCTCGCCTCCCACCCCCAAACAAGTGTCACCATGGAGCCCTGGGCAATGTGACCTTCAAGTTCCTTCATTTGTGAAGCCAAGTGCCAGATGGTTTTCTGGATGGTCACGTTTTCTGAACAGGCATCCAAGGAGAGATGGGGGAGGTGAGAGAAAGTCTCTGCTCCCTTTGAGTCAAATCCAAGGGAAAAAAAAAATACGCAGAGACTCTCAATTACTCTAGGATTAGCTAGCTAGTCAGGAAGTCAGAAGCAGTGATCCACCTCCCTCTGGGTGTGGAGAGCCCAACGGTGACAAAGATACAAGAAACAAATATGGTCCTTGTCTTAGAAAACCTTGCCCTCTTGCTGGTTACTGCTGATGCTAGGAGGCTCACTGGAGACTCTATCAGAGAATGGGAATGGAAGGACAAGCTTGGAATGCCAGAGCTGAAAGGGCCTGAGAACACAAAATATCTGAGACTGAAGGAATGTCAGAACAGAGGGACTTTAGGATGGAAAATGTCAGAGACCAGAGAGAATTTAGAGCACAGAATGTCAGTAACTGGAGGGAGCTTAGACATGAAATGGCAGAGCTGGGTGGGGGTCTGAGAATATGAAATGGTAGAGCTGGGAGAAACCTTAGAACATGTCATATTAGATAGAACTAGAATTAGATAAAATTAGAACACTAGAGCTCAAAGGGACTTGGGACATAGAATGTAAGAATTGGGAGGAACCTTAGAACAAGGAAGGTTAGAATATTGAATGTTACGAGTCAAAGGGCCCTTGGAATGTTAGAATGAGAAAGGTGGAAGAAAAGAGTATTTTAGCATTTGAAGGCAGTAGGGGTCACCTAATCCAATCCCAACATGTTGAAGGTGAGGAAGCTGAGGCCCAGAAGAGTTAGGTGATTTGTCCAAAGTCACTTGAAAAGCAAAAACTAGAACCCAGGTCTCAGCTCCCAGGCCAGGACTCTTTCCATCATGCTGCTTTGTAAATAAAAGTAAATAAAAGCCAAACTCAGTCATTTTGCTCCTCTGTAGGTTAATCTTCCCAAAGATTTGGAGCAGGTTGATTAAAATGGTGCTCTTAGAAATTTATTCACCAAAACATATAAAGCACCTACTCTGCGCTACGCTGTGCCAGGCATCAGGGGAGGGGAAATAGGCATAAACAAGCAAGGCCTGGCCCTGAACAGAGGATAATCCACGTGCAGAGATGAGTATAACACAGATTCAGAGATGATGAGATTATAACATCAAGTGGAAGGAGTGAGTTTGGTAATCCAGTGAAGGAAGTCATGGAAACTTTTATGGAGGTGGAGTTTGAAGGCTGAAGCACAAACAATGATGGCGGGAGGATTATATCAGGGCAGCAGGGCTTAGTTAAGTTTGGTCAGAGCGCAACAAATACGAAGGAGAATAATGGAAAGTAAAATGGATACCCAATTGCAGAGGGCCTTAAATGCCAAGGCCAAACCAAAGATCTCTGCTTTTAGCCTGTAGCCAATGGAGTAACATCGAAGGGTCTTAAAGGACCATCCTAATGACAGTGTGGGAAAGTAGGGGAAGAGAGGGGAAAAGGAATGCTATTAAAGGAGACCTTCTTTATCATACAGAGGAGAGGAAAAGCAAGAGAAGAGTCCGTACCACGTTCACTACAGAGCAGCTCCAGGAGCTGGAGAAGACTTTCCAGTTCACCCACTACCCAGACATCCACGTCCGCAATCAACTGGCAGCCAAGATCAACCTTCCAGAGGCCAGAATACAGGTGAGTGCCACATCTGCCCCCACACCCAAATTTCACAGGTGCTTGGACCACTTGTGACTGCATTTGGCCAATGTTTCAGGGCCCCAGTTTCCTCCTCTGTAAAATGGCCTCTGAGGTCCTTTCCAGCTATAGATCTATGATCCTATGACCCAGATTTGAACCCTGGCTCTGCCAAGTACTACCTGGAAACCTTGGGGAAAGCCCTTAACCTCTTTGAGCCTCAGTTTTCTCATCTGTAAAATGAGAGGGTTGAAGGAGATGGTGGGGGTAAGCCTTGGGGGCAAACTTATACCAAAGTCCCCTGATTCCTAGACCTGCCACGTTCTTCCATGGTAGCATAGGGCTTGCTCAAGATCCTGTCACTAGGTTTGTTCTTTCCATCATACATGCTTTGTTTCTGGAAGGTCAGTCCATTGTCCATGCATCCTACTAGCTAAGCTGCCCTAATCTTGATCACACCCCCAGCACTAACACAATACAAGCTTTCCAGAAAAGCCAAAGGTCAAACCCAAGCTTACTACCCACATTCTCTCAGCCAAGAACATAGATCAGAGGATTGAGCTAGAAGGTGCCCTAGAGGTTAGATAGTCCAACCCCTTCACTTTTCAGAAGAGGACCAGACTCAAGGAAAGGAAGTGACCTGATTAAGGACCTATAGGGATCCCACCCAGACATGAGACTTGAAGCCAGGTCTTCTTACACAGCTTCCTGAGATAAAACTGTTGCTGTTTTTCATAGCCTCACAGGATTCAGAGTTGGGAGGGAACTCAGATGCCAGCTATATCTGAGATGCCAACCCATATCTGAAAAAAAGATTCCCTCTACAACAGTCCCAACAACTGGTCATCAGATCTGAGCTTAATCACCTGCAGTGATGGATGACCCACTCCCTCTTGAGGCAGCTTGCACAATAAGATAGTGTTCTGCCCTTCTTGGATCTCATCTGGAGCTTTGTGTTGGTTTGGGAAGGAGGTTGATAAGGTTGAGAGCATTCAAAGGAGTATGATTGGAAGAGGCCTTGACTCTATGCCACAGGAAGCCCAGTTGGGAGGACCAGGGATGTTAAGCCATAATATGGGAATAATAATTGTACCACGTACCTCACAGGGTGGTTTGAGGATCCAGTGAGATAATGCATGTAAAGTGCTCTGAAGACACAAGATGATGTCTGAATGCCAGTCGCAAGACAATGATGAAGGTTTTGTTCTATCCCTTTTCTCTTATTGTCTCTCTCCTGTCCTCATTCCCCCTAGATCTGGTTCCAGAATCAGCGGGCCAAGTGGAGGAAACATGAAAAACTTAGCAGTTTCAGGAGCCTGCAGACCTTGCCAGATATGGATGTCATCTCAGCACCAAAGTCAGACATGTCTGTGAGTGGCAGACGGGGACTGGACAGGAATGACAGTGAAGAGGAGGAGGGACTGTGAGATGGGAGGGCTAACCAACCTGGAAGCGCCCCCCCATCCCAGGGTGAAAATGAGGCATTGTGGCATGGAATGATGACAACATCCAAGTGGGTTATCAGGAGCCGGGAGCTCTAGTCTTAGCTTCAGTGCCAGTGACATCACCGTGGGCAAACCCTGTCCTTCTCTTACCTAAAATAGGGGTAGGGGAGGCTGGACAGGCCAGAGCAAATCAATCAACCAATGATACTTTCCAGATTGCCCCAGTTGTTAGTAGCCACTCGTTCCCACCATCACTGTTTATTTTGTCTTTTATTTATCTGTCTAATTTGTTTTTATTTATTTATGTTATACTCCCCACCCAGTAGAAACCTCCCACCTTTGACATTTTGAGTTCTAAGGTTCTTACCACTCTGACCTTCCCCCTTCTAAAGCTCTTCCTAGCTCTTACAGTCTGTGCTAAGAAACCTCCCACCTCTGACATTATCTATTCTAAGGTCCTTCCCAGTTCTGTTCATGTTCTAAAGCCCCTCCTAACTCTGACATCTGTTCTAACGTCCTTCTCAATTCTGACTTTCCATGTTCTGAGACCCCTTCCAGTTCCAGTATTCTCTAAAACCCTTCTCAGCTCGGATATTCCATGTTCTAAGGTCCCTGCAGTTCCCAAATTTTCTGTCTTAAGGGCCCTTTCAGCTCTGACCTTTTCTGTCCTAAGGTCTCATGCCCCTCTCCCACTCCTGCTGTTTTCCCCCCAGCCCCTCTTCTCAACAACCTCAGTCCTACTTTAGCCGCCCCCCTTTCAACCCAAGTCAAGTACGTTCCCAGGTTTTTTCCCTAAGCCACCCCTTCTTGTCCACGGCCCAGGCCTTACTTTGATTCTTGTCAATCTCTTTAATCTGCCCTCCTCCCCTCCTTCATCCCTTTGATGTCCATGAGCAGTCCTCCGAGGCCTCACTGGGAAGCCTGCCTTAGTTGAGAAGTCTGTATACCTGCGCTCTAGTTATGGCCCCATTACTAAACACCTATGTAACTTTAGTCAAGTCATCCCACTGATCAATGTCTCAGTTTCCTATCATCTGTCAAATGGGAGGGGGGTATCAATCATAGATTCATAGATTGTTGGAGCTTAGCAGGACCTTAGAGTTCATTTTTAAAATCCCTTCTTTTTAAAATGGGAAATCAAGGCCCAGAGCCATTGAGAAATTTAACACCCCTAGTGAATGGCCACGCCAGGAAGAAAACCCAAGAATCCAGATGCCTGGTCCTGGGTTCTGTCTCCCTACCTCAGGAAGAGTTGTGAGATCAAATGGAAATAGCAACATCAAAGTGCTCCGGAAAGTTAGAGCATCTCTATGCACATAAAGGATTGGCATTAATGCTCCCCCTTTGCCCCACATCAAAGCCATCGCCTGGATTTGGATCCAAAGGGCATTCCTCTGGTTCACAGGTCCGGAAAGAACAGAGCTTCTCCCTGGCCCCCTGGCTCTTCACCACCTTTGTATCGGTCACAGTTGAAGTCCAGTCATCAGCTAATGTCCATTAGTGATCCATAAATGAATAGGCTGAGTCCACAATGACACTGTAGACCTTGACCTAATGGTTTCTTAATATAATTTGTTCTCATTAGCGACTCAGCACAGCAGAAGAGTGGTCTTTCATAAGACTCCCCACAATTATCCTGAGAAACAGAAAGAAAATTGACGTTTCCCAGACTCAACCAATTCTCTTTTGATGTACTAAGCACCCCAGTTAAAAAAAGAAGTAGTGGGAAGGTGGAAAAATAGATGGATTTGGGGTCCATTTAGTCTTGGGGCCACACTGAACCTCTCTGATCCTCATTTTCCATATGCGTAAAAATGAAGGGATTGAACTACATGGCCTCCAGTGTCCTTCCCAGCTCTAAACCTAAGATTCAGGGATCCTAACAAAAAAAGTGTCAATAAAAGTAAAAATCCCCTTCTCTCTGACACACCATTTCATTAAGCTTAGAGTCTCTAATAAATAGGAGTCTTCAGTTAAATAAGCTTATCATTATATTCATTATATTTCAAATCAAAAAATAATTTGTTGGTGCCTGCTAAGAGGAGAAGTGGGGGGAGATATTCAAGGCACACCCACATTAAGGACTCAGGACAAGGAACCAGTGGAGACAGAATGGGAGCTCCTGGAAAGTCAGGGGAAGAAACAGGGGAGTGAGGTGTCTGTGAAGTGGAGGGAGTTGCTTAGAGGAAGGAAACTAAAGGATGCAGACCCAATCCCTCCCTTCCCCGCAAAAAAAGGCCATTGAATTTAAAGACTGGCAGGGGCAAAAGTCTTGTTGTAGAGGATTAATGACTGCATGTAAGAGGAAATATAGCTATTGCAGGTTGTCAAGGCCAGTACAAATGAGCATTCTCCCACATGCAATTAACCCTTATGTGCTAATAGTTCCCAGAGAAGACAGCAGTATTCAGTTAAATGAACACACCGTTTTGTTGTAGACAAAACCTGTCAAAGGAGCTACAATCTACTAATTTGCTCCTGCTGCTACTATCACTATTATTACTACTACTACTACTACTATTACTCTTACTACTACTACTGTTGCTCTTACTACTACTACTGCTACCACTGCTACTACTGCTACTACTGCTACTACTATTTCTATTTTTTTATTAAAGGGGCCATCCCTTGACTCATTTCTTAAAGAGGCCTATTCAGTGAATGGACTTTGCCTCACTCAAAGTGAGAACCTGAAAAGACCTTAGCTTAAAAGGGCCAATGTCTCCCACTGCATCCTGACCCTTCTTCAGTTGTCCTGATAAATATCTGGTCACTGGACCCAGATGGCTCTGGAGAAGAAAGTGAGGCTGGTGACCTTTCACAGCCCTCCCTCACTCAAATCAAAGTCTATTGCAAGTCATGTCATCATCTCCCTGATGTTGTGGTCCTCTTCGAGAATGAAGGACAAACACAACAACAACCACTACCACTACTACCATTATTACCATACCACTACTACTACTGCCTCTGCTACTACTATTACTCCACTGCTACTACTACTACTACTACTACTACTACTACTACTACTACTATTACTACTATACCACTACTACTGCTACCATTACTACCACTGCCACTACTAGTACTACTACCATCACCACCACCACTAATAGTAATAATAATAATAGCTAGCATTTATATAGTACGTACTATGTGCCAGGCACTGGGCTAAATGCTTTACAAATATTATCTAATTTGATCCCCACAGCAACTCTAGGAGAGAGGTGCTATTATGACCCCCATTTTACAGATGAGGAAACTAAAGCAAATAGAAGTTTAATGACTTGCCCAGGATCACACAGCTAATAAATGTCTGAGGCTGGATTTGAACTCAGGTCTTCCTGATTCTAGACCCAGTGCTCTATCCACTATGCCACTATTCAATAATGACATTGGACTTAAAGACGGAAGACTGTGGTGTTGGGATTCCAGCTCTAATGCTTATGGAATTGTATGAGGATGAACAAGTAACATTCAGCCTCTGCTAGATGCCCCCAGTGATGGGAGCCTACCTCCTTAGGCTACCCATTCCCCTTTGTACCACTCAAATGTGAAGGAAGATTTTCCTGGCATTTAGGCTAAATTTGCTCTTTGTAACTTCCTCCTGTCTTTCTTTGTCCAGTCCTCTGGAGCCATGCAGAATAAGTAGATAGAAGTCTACAGCTCCTGGGAAAACCAAGTCTTTGAAACAACCATGTATCATTCACAATGATTAATCAGTAGAGTGAGATCTTTGGGATAGCCTGTGGTCAAGCACATGCTAGAGAAAGATCCATGAGCTAATTTTCTCTTTTCTCTTCTTGACACAGGGATCCAGCTTGACACCCAGGATGCTCCCCAGCCTAATGTATCCAATTGGATACCATTTTCCTATCCAAGGACAGCTGGTCTCTGCCTGGTTTCCTCCCTACTTCATGCCTAATCCATGGAACATGCTGTCTTTCCCCAGCCCTCATCTGCATCTGGAATGTGTTCCCACATGTGGCATTCCTTCCCCTCAGTGCCCTGAATGGGGCAATATCTGTGCTGGTTTCACATAGGAAAAGAAAGATCCCTCTCTGGGCTGACATCTACAGTACCACTGCCAAGCAGCGGGCAAGGTGAGCCAGATGGGACCCTGAGAGGAAGACGACTGAGCCCATTTTCATAATATGAGTCTGACAGCTTTGAAATCACCAGCCTCCTCCCCAAAACCACCACCTGAAAGCCTAGGAAAATGGCTTGGGACATCCCTTTGAGAAGTTACAGGTGGGTCCTTGGACAGAGAAGATTCTCAGAATGATAGCCACATTATCTTTGGTGTTGTGGGTAGAAAGCCAGCCTCTGAAAAAGGAAAACCCAGGTTCAAAACCAAGCTCTTATATATACTGACTGTGTGATCCTGGGCAAATCAGTTAATTTCTCAATGTTCCAAGTAACTGTCTGCTGGATTGCAGAGAAGGCACTCATCTATACCGTCAGAGGGATTTCCTCGCTGGGCAGTCCCTACAGCAATAAAATCACAAGTCTTATTTTTAAAAAATATTTTTTAAAAATCAATGTTTCCCTCCACTCTCCTATACACAGAAGCCCACTTGTTCTAACTTCTGTCCTTTGTGATAAAGCAAAAGGCTCAAGAGGAGAAAGCACAAGAAAAGGTCAATCCCCAAAGAGAAGTTAATTCCCCCCAGCCTCCTCTACCCCAATGGTACATTTCACAAGGCCACAACAAGGGCTTCCTGAGGTGAAGTCAAGACCGTCCTTTGGACAAAGTGTGACTTAAGGAATGTTTTATTCCATGCAGAAATACGGTCTCTAACCAGAATAAAAGGAGTGGAGGTAGATTGATTTGAGAGTTGAGTCTTCCCAGTGGGACACTCCATTGGCCTAGATGGTGATCTTATGCTAGAAATCTGATGTTTTAGTGGAAAAGCACCTGAGGTCTGCCATGAGACTTCTAAATAATTAACAAAGTAATGCTTCCAAAAGTAGACTATTTTCAGGAGGGAGAAGTACACCTCCAGAGAGGAAATGGATCTCACCCATCCTCCTCATCATGTCATCTGGCTTGTGTTTACAGGACTCATAGCTGAGGCTTTCTTTTTAAGCTATAAATTATTGGTCATAGTCTATCCCTGGACAGAAGGATGTCCCAGGTGTTGACTCCCACCTACACATAGCACCTCCATGGAAAAGATGGAAGGCATGGTCTAAGTGACCATTGCCCCTCTTCAGCAGTTAAATGAATTCACTTGACTGCCTGACTCAGTTCCTCCATAGATGAGAAGAGCAAAATGGAGTAGTTACTAGGAATCAAGAGACCCTGAACGTTACCTGGGCCCTGAAACCAACTCCCTATGTCCCACTGGGCAAGTCATTTCTTTTCTCAGGCTTCAGTTTCCTCATCTGCATAATGGAGTAATGGTATGTACCTCTCAGGGATGCTGTGAGGGTCAGATATAAAAATGTTTTGCAAACTATAAAGTACTTTGCAAAAATGAGACACTGAATAATTATACTGGACCACTTTGACTCCCATCTATGACAATGGAGGAATGGATAGCTTTGTCTACCCAAACAGCTCTTTCAGCATAACCTGGAGTTCTGTGGAAAGAATTGTCAGTACAAGAGACCTGGGTTCTAATGTGGACTCTGTCAGTGCCTCTGTGTGATGCTAGACAAGGCATCACATGTCTCTGGGCCTCAGTTTCTTTATTTAGTGGCTAGATTCTAGCCAATGGGGACAGAAGTCCTTGCCCTATCCTACCTACCTCATAGGAATGTTGCAAGACTCAAATGAATGGATAAATGGGTAGATGGATGAATAAATGAATTAAATACCTTTATAAATGATGTTATTGCTATTATTGTTGTATTAATATTCATGTTATTATTATTTGAAGTGTTTATTGTTGTCTGGTTATGACAGTCATCACACTACAACAGATTCAAAAAAAAGATGGAGGCATTAGAGTAACAGAGGAGGAAGGAGGTCACCTGACCAAAATTAGCCCTTAACTTAAGCATGGTGTCCTATAGAACTCAGAATTGGTCCAAGGATATGCCCTATCAATCTTGCTATCAATATTGGCTAGCATAACACTATATTCAATAACCCTTCCCACACAGGGCTGAATCCCTTCCAACTGGACTACCTTGGGCCCAGATAAAAGCACAGTTTGCCCCTAGTCAGACCATATCTAGAGTATTCTGCTCCATTTTGGGTGCCATGATTAGTAAAGGCAATGACAAATTCAACAGCATTCAGAGGCAGCCAAGCAGGCCAGGGAAGGGATTGGAAATTAAGCAATACTGGGATTAGCTGAAGAACTAAAAGAGACTCAGTAGAGGACATAAGATCACAGGATCATAGATTTAGAACTGGAAGGGACCTCAGAGGCCATCTAGTTCAACCTCATTGTTTAACAGAAAAGAAAACCGAGGTCTGCAGAGATCAAATGACCTGCTTATGGTCATGATAAATGTCTTAAAGTATTCAAATATGTCATGTGAAAGATGGATTTGATGTTTGATTTGCCCCAGAGCAAAGAACTGGAAGTGATGTATAGAAGGTGAAAAGAATCTAATTTTGGCTTTATATAAGGCAGTGTTTGTTGTTGAAGAGGGGAATGGGATGCTTCATAAGGTAGTGATCATCCAATGACTGGAGGGAGGTCTTCAGGTCAAGGTTGAATGACCACATGTCACAGATAAATTCTACATCCAGGTTAGACCAGATGCTCTCTGAGGTCCATTCCTACTACAAGAGATGCCAAAATTCCCAATAAAAAGAGCTATCCAAAAATGCAAAAAAATGGTCATTCAGTGAAATAGAGGACTTTCAAGCATTCCTGATGAAAAGACCAGAGCTAAACAGAAAATTTGACTTTCAAATACAGGACTCCAGTGGAACATGAAGAGGTAAACAGGAAAGAGAAACCATAAGAGACTCATTAAGATTGAACTGTTTACATTCTTGCATGGAAAGATGATATTTGTAACTCATGAGAACTTTGTCAGTATTAGGGTAGTTGGAGGAAAAAAATTGTATGTATGCATATATAGATAGATAGAGGGCACAGGGTGAGTTGAAGATGAAGGGGTCATATCTGGAGAATAAAATTAAGGGATGAGAGAGGATGATACTCGGAGAAGAAAGGAAGAGGTAGAATGGGGTAAATTATCTCACAAAAAAAAAACAGAAAAGAAAAGTCTCTTACAGTGGAGGGGAAACAGGGGAAGGTGAGAGGGAATGAGGGAATCTTATTCTCATAGGATTTGGCTTAAGGAGAGAACAACATACACATTCAATTGGGTATGGAAATCTGTCTTACCCTACAGGAAAATAGGGGGAGAAGGGGACAAGAGAGCAGGGGGGTGATAGAGAGGAGGGCAGAATGGGAAAGAGGGTAATCAGAAGCAAATACTTCTGAGGAGGGACAGGGTCAAAAGAAAGAATAGAATAAATGGGAGGGCAGGATAGGATTAAGGGAAATAGAGTTAGTTTTTCACAACATGTCTACTAAGGAAGTGTTTTGCATAACTGCACATGTACAACCTATACTGAGTTGCTTGCCTTTTCAATGAGGGTGGGTGGGGAGGGAGGAAGGGAGAAAATTTGGAACTCAAAGTTTTAAAAACACATGTTTTTAAAAAAATATATTTTCACATGCAACTGGGAAATAAGAAATACAGGAAATGGGGTACAGAAGTCTATCCTGCTCTACAGGAAAACAGAAGAGGAAGGGGATAAGAGAAGGGAGGGGGGAGAGATAGAAGAGAAGGCAGACAAGGGGAAGGGGTATTCAGAATGCATGCCATCTTGGGGTGGGGGAGGGGTGAGAAATTTGGAACTCAAAAACTTGTGGAAGTGAATATTGAAAACTAAAAATAAATAAATTTATATTAAAAAAATAAAAAATTTTAAAAATTTTAAAAAATAAAATAAAATAATATAAAAAACAAAAATGCAATAGGTTGATTCATGTATTATGGATCTCCTCATCATTGAAAGCATTGAAACAGAAACTAGATGACTTTCTTCAGGGGTGGAGCAGAAAGGAGCCATACATTGAGCAATAGTTTGAACTACATAATCTCTAAGGCCCCACCCAACTGTGAGTCACCTTGGGCTTCTCAGGAGACTGATTCTTCAGTAACCAAGAACTATTGTTTCTCTCCTGTATTGTGATATTAACTGACATTTCTATGACACTATAAAGTCACTTTCCATACATGATCTCATTTGAATCTCACAATAACCCCATTAGGAGGAAATATGAATAGTGTTGTCCCTATTTTACAGATGACAAAATGGAGGCTCAAAATGGTACAATGATTTGCCCATGGCCACACAGCTAATAAGTGGAAGAGTGAGAAATGGAACTCAAGTCATTCTGACTCCTCCTTCTACTCTCTATCCGCTACACCATGCTGCCTTTCCTTTATGTAATGTGGCCAATCCAAAATTCTCAGAAACCGTGGACTCCTAAAATTCATTTAATCACCTTTGCCCCTCTCTGATTGACTTCTCTAAGGAAGCAGAACTCAAACCCTGGACATAGTAAAATCTCCAAAAACTATGATTTGTGTAGGGGAGATTGTAGCCTGGGTGAGAAGACTGGAGGTGAAGAAGATCAGAGAAGATAGAAGCCCAGTGACTCCATTGCCCAGCCCCAACTATAAGTGTCATGGAGCAATGGAAAGAGAACTGAATTAAGATTTCAAATGCTAGTTCTGACTCTTAACTAGGATTGTAACCTTAGACAAATTACTTCCTCTCTCTGACCCCAGTTTCCTCATCTATAAAATTAAGGCAGTGTGGAGTAGCACTTAGAGAAAAGGAGTCTGGAAGAACTGAGTTCCAATCTGACCTCAGATACTATGTACCCTGGGAAATCATTTAATCTCTCAGGGCTCAATTACCTCACCTATAAAATAAGAAGGATTACACTTGATGGTCCCTATGGCCCTTGCTAACTCTAAATCTGTGATCCTACAATCTTATAACTAAGTGATCCCAATGGTCTTTTCCATCCCTGTTAGTCCATGAATCTATGAGCAGAAAGACCTGAGTTCAAATCCTGCCTCAGACCTTTGACAGCTATGTGGCCCTGGTCAAATCACTTAAACTCTTTCAACCTGTTTCTTCATCTGTAAAATGGGGACCACAGCACAGCAAATGAATTAATATATGGAAGGTACTTCACAAATCTTAAAGCACTGCCAGTGCTAATTATTGTTATTATTATTATTATTATAAATGACCCTAGATCACCAAGGCTTTGTCTCCTGACAAACATTGCGAAACATTTAAAATTGTTTCCTGAAAGTGGCAGTTAAAATATACACGTTACCTAGGAAACATTATTATAATAATAACTCAGAATTCTGTCTTTATTTGTGTGAAAAGTGTTTTGTAATTATGTCATATAATCCCTGGGTTCATCTTGGCAGGTAGACTTAGAATTATTTTCTATTGTCTGCAGTTATTTTAAATGGAATTTCTCTTTCTATCTCCTCCTGCTGGGTTTTGTTGGCAGTATATAGAAACGCCAATGATTTATATGGATTTATTTTGTATCTTGCAACTTTGTTGAAGTTCTTAATTGTTTCAAGTAGTTTTTTAGTTGATTCTCTAAGTGTATTATCATATCATCTGCAAAAAATGATAGTTTTGTTTCTTCTTTGCCTACTTTTATTCGTTCAATTTCTTTTTCTCGTCTTATCGCTATAGTTAGTATTTCTAGTACAATATTGAATAAGAGTGATAATAACGGACATCCTTGCTACCCTCCCGATCTTATTGGGAAGGCTTCAAGTTTGTCCCTGTTAAAGATAATGCTTGCTCTTGGTTTTAGGCAGATACTACTTACCATTTTAAGAAAGGTTCCATTAGTTCCTATTCT